CTTCAAATGTTACATCACTACAAATAACTTCATTTTTGGACATTTATGGTTTGATTTCTTTGTATGTATGGATCACTTAGGTTGTTACCAACATCTGGTGAAAATTTCATGTCATTAGCACCTCTAGTAATATATTTACTGAGAAAAATGGTGACGTGTTCAATACTTATTTTACCCGCTGTAAATGAGGTATACATCGAAAATAAGTACACAAAATGTGTATTTTTAATAAAGACAACACCAGGAATCTAAATAGTAAATTTATGAACAGTCTAGATTATAAATAAAATAAGGGTGGTACAAAATTCAAGAAACTCTAATATTCTTATTCTCATTAGTACACTCAGTATGTGAATAATAAACTACTCGGTATTACAGGGTATAAATATGAGCCTAGCTACATTTTTAACTGTGTCTGCAAATGTTTGTCCACRAACAGGACAAAATAAATCTCATTTATTGTCAGAAGTACACTGTATTGAACATTTTTATATTTATATGCCGTAATGTATAAATAACTCAACTAACGACTAAAAGCTAAACTAAAAAACATCTGATCTATGTAAAAGAAGCTGAATTCAGTTTTATTTGAAGAAAATACAGTACCTATGAAAAGTATTCACCCGCTTTAAAGTGACTGTTTCAATTGAACTCGAAAAGATCACTTTAACGTACAAGACGGGATGGATACAAAAAGACTTCCAAGGTCCTAAATACCCTCAGGAGATCTGTTAAATCCATTATCATGAAATGGAAGGAAGATGGGATGTGTGTAAATCTACCACGAATAGGCCGTCCTCACAGAACAGTGAGAGAGACCACCAAGACGCTTGTGAGCTCTGAAGGAACTGAGAGCTTCACATACTCCATCCAAAGCTGCTACATTGTGTCATTTTATTTAAAGAGCAGCTTCACCTGACCCTTCTCAACACAAGGCCTGTGTGACTGCTCAGACGTTTGTGGATGTGTTTGTTTATATGGAAAGGTGCTCAGATGAATGCAGTTGCCAAATCACATTTATCCAACTAAGATTTATTGCCAAGRTGAAGACATAGTTTTATTATTATTWTTTTTTATTTTACCATTATTTAACCAGGCAGACCTTATTGAGATCGCAGATCTCTTTTGCAGGGGCAGCCTGGGCCTGAAGGCAACCTATGAACATGTTTTTGGGCAGTAGGGGAAACCGGAGAAAACCCACACAAGCATAAGTCGAACATGCAAACTCCACAAAGAAAGGTCCGAACCGGGGTTACTTGTTTAACACTTGTTGGTTTAGATAAATGATTACTGCATCACTTACTAGTTGTCCAGTTTTTTTACTAAAAGAAAACAGGAATCCATGTCTCCGGTTCTGGCTTCTCTCCAGTGGCTTTCTGTACGCTTTAGGATAGATTTTAAGATTTTACAGCTTACTTTGAAGGTTCTGAAAGGTCTGGCCTCATCATGCCTGTATGATCTCTTTAACATCCACAGAGCACTTCTGTCATCCAACCAGTTTCCCTCAGATGTTTCTAGATCTAAGCTAAATTCAGAGGTGATTTTTGCACTTTCTGCTCCAAACCTGTGGAATGGTTTACCTTTATGAATTCAGACTGCTGAGACCGTCAATACTTTTAATCTAGTTTTAAGAGACCCATCTTTATTCTTTGGCTTTCGATTCTGGAAGAGTCTGAGTTACTTTAGAGCTGTTGTTTTTATAATGTACTTTTGTGTTTTATATTAAATTTAATTATTGTTTTTAAATATTTCTGTTTCTTTGTTGTTTTATCTGTTCATTTGGCTGAATTGGGAAGCACACTCTGTTCAACCTCTGCTGTCTTAAAGTGCTATTAACAGATAACAATGATGGCATTTTGCTTCAAGTACGCCACTTCCAGAAGTTCACTGTTGGGCGTCCAAAAAACATGACAGCTGTCTGAGGCAGTCAGAAAACACACCCACTGATATGACTCATCCAGACACTTATAAAGGTAGTAAAATGGACAAAAAATCCTGGATGGGGGGAGCCCAGACACTGTGCACAGAGGAATCTGTCGGCAGATTTGTGGCCAAACACCGGATGGGTGAAAACTCCAGCGGGGGAAAAACTCGTGCTGTGACGTGTGCAGCAACAGGAGAGGGTTTCCCGGGAGCTCTGCGCCGTGTGTCTCATGAATTATGAAAGTTTAGAAAATAACTACGTGAAGTCGACWGTTTGGCTTCGGCTCGAGTGTGTCGGGCCGTTTACAAGCTTCAGCAGGTGATGTTGGTGAACCTGAACTACAATGACTGTTGCCTGAGTTCCTCATCAATCTAAGCTTTATGGGATGAAGCCACTGCTGAAGAAAATTTAGATTAAGGCTTTATAAATGTAGCATAATTGAAATCTAAACACGTTTATTGCTAAGAACTTCTCTGCAAATCCATCAAAACCTGAATGTGGAAGACAGTTAAAGTGAAAAACTGACTGAAAGTAGAGAAACTTCAGAAAGTAGGAGCGATCTCTGCAGTTTGATCCTTTTATCTGATATGTATTCACGTTCGGTTTTAGTTACAAAAATCATCACTTTGTAATTTTTGCTGAATTTTAAGTGAGTTCCTTATATGATAAAACAGACTTTACACAGAGCATGCAGAAATCTTTCCTAAACTTGTGTTTTGGTGTTATTTTTCCTCGTGCTGCAGCTGTGCAACTCACCAGCAGGTTGGTCCCACTCTGAAACAGGTTGTAGGGGTAAAGGATTCTCTCGTAATGCCCTCGCAGGTGCGAGCCGACAGCTTTGCCGGGGGTGAAGCCCATCTGTAGCGCAATCCTGGTCCATCGCCTTTCCTGACAGACGATGTCAAATCCACCCTCGTCTGCTACCAGCTGTAAGGACAGTGTGTCGTGTCAGTGATGTCTGAATCTTCACTGTTTAAATATATATTTAAATAATGCACAGTGCAGTCAGTAATCAACCTTATTTAGCTTATATAGGTCCAAAATCTTTCTCTCCACGTGAGGAATCTTCAGAGTGCATCCCTGTAAATCCCAAAATTTGGCAATCTGATCCAAAAAATTGAGCTTGACTCTGGTCTGTGCCTGAAAATAGACAGGGCAATGACAAAAAAAAAAAGCATTCAGAGAAAGGCATCTGCAGGCTGAGATTTACACTAAGGGTGAAGAACTGAGCTAAGAACCGAGGAGTAAATCCCAAAGAAGTGTGTGGAGAAATAGGCAGCTACAGAACATTGGGCCTCATGCAAGAACCGTTCGTACGCACAGATTTGTTCTTAAGTTGTGCGTACGAGTGATTTAGGAGAATTTGTGGCATTCACCAATGTTTTCGTATTCTAAGATTTTTTTCAGATACGAACAAAATTCACGAGTGGTCCAGACCTGTCGTATATTTTACCAGCAGTCAGTCTGCTGTTATCTAGACGGGTTTTCTTCATTAATAACTTTATATTTCATTAATTTGAAGATATTTTGAGTTGAAAATAAATCACACTCCATAATTATGTTGACAATAGGCTATTCTGCTTGAATTAGAGTTATAATTTTAAATGTAATAATTTAGACTAACAATATAAATTGTCCGTTCGGCCAGCTTATCCGGGATCAGGTCGCGTGGGCAGCAAGAGAGAGACCCCGCTCTCCCCAGCGACACTTTCCAGCTCGTCCTGGGGGACTCCGAGACGTTCCCAGACCAGAGGGGATATATAATCCCTCCAGCGAGTCCTGGGTTTTCTCCAAAGTGCCAGACTTATTTTGAAAAAACATTTTAAAATGCTTATTTCAGAACCACAACTGAGACCACTTGAGACAGCGCGCGGGGGGTGTACGGTGCGCAGCGCTGCGGCTTCTGAATAAATGAAAATGATTTAACACAGTTGTTTATACTTTTAGCAGCTCTTTTTATTCCACAGCTGACCTGCTAAAAATGACAGATTTTCTTKTCTGGATCTCTGACAGACGGACTTCAATCTCTGAACTCGTAAAGTTCTTCTTTTAAGTTTTCGCTGCCATTTTCATGAATGGACACTTCCTGATATCTGAGGCAGGAAACATAGCCTTATATGGTGTTTTTGGGGTGGTAATTATGCTAATCCTCTCCTCGTGCACGAGCAGCTGGATAGAACAGGTGTAATTTACGCAGCTCATTTACACACTTTTTCCTGAAGATAGAAGAGTTTGTTGAATCTGACGTGACATGTTYGTACGAAMCCTTTGTACGAACAAAAGTRAGAGAAATTTAGGATAAGAATACGAACATGTTCTTGCATGAGGCCCATTGTTTAAAATGTGTAATAACTGCATTTTGTTAAAATGTAATGAATGTTTATCAAAGGATCATTTGAATAAACTGTCTTAAAAAGAATCTTTAATATTTTTTTAGAAGCAGTTTTATGAGCAGTAGCATCAAAAACCATGATTTTGAGCAAAAAAACCTTAAATTTTTTGTAAATTTTCCTGTGAACTAGCAAAGCTTTTTTCTTTCCAGCTGGGAAATCTCAATATCCAAATACTATTTGAGGTTTCCTCTTTAAAATGCAATCAAAACTCCTCATTAGAATAACCTAAAAATAAGATTCATGCTGAATATCAACAAGTTTTCCTGATTAGGAAGAAAAATCAAGCCATATCTCTCATATTAGGATTATCTAGGTATCAAAATATAGCTTAAAAAGCAGGAATCTGGCTTAAATTTGACTTAATCCACAATTTGATAAGGTGGGTGACACTTTTAGCTCATTTTAATATAATTTTTACACTAAAATTTTAATTTATATTTTGAATAACATTTCTGTTCTTCGCACCACAGTTATCAGTGATACAGTGTTAGTTCTTTTTAACAGCTCTGTTTTCAAGCACAGATGCACAAACAGATAACAGTCAAATAAAATGTGATTCAAATCTGTTAAACAAAACTTACCTCCAGTTCATTGAGCCTCTGGATCCGAGGAACAAAGTGAAGCTTGTCAACATCGCAGGCAAATGGAGGCTGCCAGTCCTAAACAGCAACAGCAGGACACAGAAAGAAACATGAAGGTCAGTAAATCAGACAGCCTGAGCAGCCGGGCTGGTTGCTTTTAATGACTCCTATTCAGGCCCTGAAAAGTTTGGATTCAAGAGTTTTATTGTCACACGCCCCAGCACACAAGCAAGCTACACTGTGCGAGGTTTAATCACTAATCCTGTGAAATCATTTGTGAGAACTGATCATCAAAGTGTTTCAAGAAATGTGTGAAATACACTTTATATATTCAACAGATTTAAAGAAAAGCTAAGTAGACAGAATAAAAACAAGGCCAAGGCCTGCTCTTAGAATGCAACAATGTTTCTAAGTCATAGCAACAATGCAAAAGAAAAAAAAAAACCTCCTATATAATAGAAAAACACTCAAGAAGGGCCCCAAGTTCCTGCCTAAAGTGAGAAGCTAACATCCCCCCACTGACAAACAAAATGGCCAGATGGAAGACTAAACTCAATAGTCCAGCTTACCACAAAGCCAACATGGAGGACAACACCCTACAACACAGGCTCATACATGAAGACTGGCTCATTCTCTGCGAGCTCACATCAATAAAACCTGTATCACAACTTTAATTCTGAGTAATAAGGCAGATTTCACCAAAAACGTCAAAGTTTGAACTTCTTCATTCAGCAAATTAGTATTTATTTCCCCAATAAAGAACATCAAATATATTTGTTTTATTTGCAAGATTATATGACATTTCATATTGTGGAATATTGTGACATTTTATTGTAAACAAAGGGGGAAAAACAATCTGCTTCCGGTGTTTATTAGAAAGTGGACAAAGTGATGGAGCTCTCCGGCTGACCCAACTTGGTTTAGGATGCTTTAAGAAAACACATCCATAATTCACGGCAGCTTCTAGGCTCTGGCGACATTTAGAAACAACAATATGGGAGAAACAAAAGCAGTGTTCGGCTTATGTCTGTTAAATCTATGATTTATTATCCTGTGTTTCTAGGAGGCGGTCGGCTTCCGCATAGCTTTTTAATGTCAAAGCAGTGAGTGTGGCACATTATGACAGGTTAGCCTGTTAGCTCAGAGGCTAACTGACCACCGAGGCTCTGCTGACTCGTGAACCGACTACAGCTCACTTTAAACACACCTGGACGTATAAATGGCTGCTGACGAGCTTAAAGTGCACAATATACCGTGGATATGACTTGGAACAGGCGACGGGGAGAGAGCGGTGGCAGCACAAAGAATAAGCAACTGCCGTGAGTCCGCCATGTTTAACAGTCCCTTTAAATCCCAGCGCTCGGTCCATCTACAGCCGGACTATTTCAGCATCCGCGCCCTGCAAAACCTTTCTGAACAACTCCTCGGACTCACCGGAGGTGGTCGGACTTTGCAAATCCCCGTTTTCTCCGCGATGGGACGGATCTTATTGATAAAAGCATAGGGATCTCGAAATTCTTCCCAGCTAGGCTCGAAGACCGGGCACTCCGGAGGAGGCTTGAACTCGTCCGGCCGAGGCAGGCTCATCGTTTCGACCCCGATGGAGGCTCGGACTTTGACAGGACGGCGTGCGGCGTCAGTTCACCGCGGGGGTGTTTTTGTTTTCTTTCTTTATCCCCGTCGGTTCACCGTGTCAGTCGGTCGCAACGAGTCGACATCAACACGAAAGGAGGCAGATCACACACACACACACATACACACAACCACGCACAGTGGAGCGACTGTTCCAAGGCAGCGAGCACGTCCGCCCGAAAAACTAGACACCGCACGGTTCAAGGTGATGAGCGTCAGATGCCTCGGTTTCCGCAGTGTTTGCGCTCAAATATGCGTATTACTGCGTAACAAACACTCTATACTGCCTCTGACGAGTCATGCAGTAAATCACCTTTTATCATTTTCTCTCTTTATAACATTCTTAAGGTTTATTCATCCTGTCTTAGTGTTTTATTACTCGGCAAAGTTTACATGAGAAAGGAAACATGTTCATTTCAAAATGTCTTCATGCGTCTCAGTAATCCAGGTAAAAAATCAAAAAGAAAAAAATTGTGTAGGTCTTCTGGACGGGTTCTTCTCTAACGAAACATTTCATCTCTCCTCCAAGAGACTTCTTCAGTCTGAGAGTTTCAGGCAAAATTCAGGCTTTTAAGCACTGCCTCCATGTGACTGATACTCACATCACATGGCTAT